GGTGAATCTACATACGTCACACATTTGAATACTTATATTTTAGATTATTTTCTATTCTATCTATTATTTTCGTCTCTCCTCTCCACTCTGTGTAAACACTGCCTGCACATCAGCCGAAACATCACAGAATTTTTGTCGCGAGTGATAAGTTGTACTGAAAAGTGATGACTGTTTTTTTTTTAAAGAATCTACTTGAAGCAAAAGATTTATATTTAGCTTTTTTCTAAAATCTAAATTAAACACGTAGAATAAAGAGATTTTGATGAAATATCATGATATAAAGATTAGACTTGACTATGTTTCAAAACCAAACAGCACATCACAGATGAGTGGGTCAACGACTGTCGGAAAGTTTAAAATCCAACGTTTTCACAGGTTCTCGCTGATAAACGGTGTCTCTGTATGATTTGATAAAGGTAACATACCTTTTTTTTGAACCTGCTGCTGGGTTTTGAGGTTCAGATGATTAATTTTGTTTTGGAGCTGAGGAAATCACTAACTGACCGACACGATGCTCTGTGTGTCTGGTTAAAGTCAAACTCTGGTGTATATTTTCTTACTTCAGAGCCTCCAGAGGCAGCCTGGTTCCCGACAGACTCACAGCAGTCAGAGCCTGAGCACAGCTGAAGAACTGCTTGAAGGACGGAGGGATTTCTTTGCACTTCCTACAAAGGAGTGAGAAGAGATGTGTTAATATCAACACAGTAAACAGTGCAATTACATTCAGAGTAGTGACAAGTACATCTGGAACTCGACATTTTAACTTCCGCAAGACATTTCCTGAGTTATGGTATTCAAAAAGTGCTACAAAAAATCCAGTGTGGATGGATTTTATACTGTCAGACGCTGTAGAACATCTGTAATAATATCACATGAAAGTGTTTGAATAATTTGCTGTCTGATAGATAAGTGTGAGTTTAACATCTGACCTGTGAGAGAAGACTGTTTTTGACATGTTGAGGACAGAGAGATGCTTCAAAGATCCTCTGAGCAGAGACGCACACACCTAAAAAAACAACAACAACAAAAAAACCCACAAAACTGAAATGAAGCATGAAGCAAAGTAGACTGAAACTGGACAAGTACAGACCTGACAAAACTGTGCAACCACGCAAAGGCCAGGCGCAACTATGCACACTTTTTGCTGCGAGTTGTTCATAAAAACTGTCCGTGTGTGCTTTTCTCACCTGCTCCAGAGAGCAGTCACTGTTTGACAGATCCAGAGTTTCCAGGCAGTTGGAGTGACTCAGGAAGCTGTGCAGATTCTGTAAAGATACAAAAAACACATACACTGTTCAGGAATTTAAAGGCAGCTCTAACTGTAGGTTCAGTGTTGTGTATCTTTACATTTGTCCAACGTTTTCTGAAAAGCTGCTGAAGCCCAAAACCTGCCAGTGGGTTTGAAAAGCAAGTTATCTTTAAAAAAACAAAAAGAAAAAGAAAGAAAAAAAAAAAGAGCCAAGATTGCGCCCTTCATAACAGCAAGAAAAATGAATAATTGTCAGATTTTCAACGTTACGACTGCCCCCAAACTACTCATCGGTGACATGCTATTCCATTGGTTAGCTTTACTGAATCTGAGCTTAAAACTGTGATATTTCATTAAAATCACTTTGCCCTACATTTCTTATTTAAAACGGTCTTAACTGAACAGATTCTGTCAAAAACTAAAAATTCTGTTCTCCTCATTGAAAGTGTGAAGCCATTCGTGACTCGGCTGTAACCAGCAGTCACGTGACAAAGATTTGGACTTTTCAGCTGAACTGGAGGCTGTGTCTACACAGGCATGTATGGAAACCAATAAGAATGTCAGTACAACAATCTAAAGTGTGCAGAGTCACCATTTTTTCCAAGCACTGGTAAGTTTTTTCAAGTTGTGTAAAATAAATAATGAAAGAAAATAACGCATTGTTTCTTTTTGTGATTTATGGCAATATAAATGTAAATATATAATGTATACTACACAGAAGACATGTTTGAGTTCTCTCTGGCCATGCTGGTATATATTATATAACAGGAGCCAAGAAAAACTTTTTGGTATTTAGGGGGATAATAAACTGTGTGTTTGCAGGTTTTTTTTGTTTTTCTTAAAAATTGTTTATAATGTCATAAAGGTGCTTATCTATTCTGTGAAACTGAAGTAACGTTTTACTGTCTGGATCTACGTCACACTGGAAAACACTGTCGATTTTGGTTGCGTGTGATTGTATGTAGGTGCGCCAAAGTAGCATTTCGTTGACTTGTACTTGTGACGTCAATGAATATAAAGGTCTATAGGTCTCATAGTTTATTTGTATGCACGTTTGATCTTTTTGTATATTTTTGAAGTAAACGTACATGCTTTTTTGTGTTATTTTTAGTGTAATTGTGATTGTTTTGGATGTTTCTTAGCTATCTTTCCTATACTTGTGTTGTTTTGTGTGTTTTTGTGCTCATTCTATGTGCTTTTTTTGGCCATATTGTTTATTTTAGCAGTATATTTGTATGTTTTTATTCTAAAATTTCATTTAGTAGATGCTTTTATCCAAAGCTACGTACATCTGAGAGCAGATACAACACAAGCAAGGATCTATTCAGGAGAAAACAATCTAGACAAGTGCCATAGAACAAATTCAAGTGAGACAGGGCGTTGATGCCAATAGCCAATTTATGGTGATTTTGTGCATTTTTGTAGATAATTAGTATGTTAATTAGGTAATTCTTTGTGTCACTGTGGTTGTACTGAGTGTCTGGCAAGAAAAAAAACTATTTGGGATCCAGAGGGCTAACAAACTGTAGCTATGCTGAGTTTGTTTAGACACGTACCTGAAGGTCGTCGCCTCTGAGCGAGTTTCCTGACAGATCCAGATGTGTGAGGGTGGAGGCCACGACTGGGTTTGCACAGAGAGCCTGACAGAGGCTGTTTACACCTGCAGCAAATGACAAACGTACTCTTGTGAAAAAAAACAGTTCAGGACAAAAAGAAGGTGCTTCTTCGTCTGTTTGTTTCTGTGCTTTCACCTTTGGGAGACATGGAGGTCCTGGACAGGTTCAGGTGCTTTAGACCCATGGGCAGTTTGGAGATTTGAGCACTCAGAGCAGAAACACCTGCATAAAGCAACACACATTCAGTCAGTGGAGTTATTACACTTTATCAAGCTGAACATGGCCACCAGAGGGCGCCTGACTTCACCTGACAGTTCTGCAGATGAGTTCATGAAACAAAGATGGTATATTTAGGAGTCATTACAGATGAGTAATCTCATTTTGGCATTTTTGTGGCTGTTTTGAATTTTTGTGCTCATTTTATGGATTTCTTTTGTCTTCTTGAGTGTTTTTGCAGTTAATTTATATATATTTTTTGACATTTTGTTCATTTTTGTAGTTAATTTACATGCTGTGATGTTGATGTAATTTTGAATGTCATTTTAGTTGTTTTGGGTCTTTTTTAGTACTATTGCTTGTTTTACTGGTTAAGCATTATGTTGTTTAGGTCATTTTTAGTGTTATTGTTGTTGCTTCTGGTGTATTTGTCTAATTTTATGTACTTTCTGGCTATCTTGTGTATTTTTTTTAGTTAATTAGTGTGTTTTTAAAGGTAATTTTGAAGTTAATGTGTATGTTGTTGGTCTTTAAAAAATACTTCGGTTATTTTGCATGGTGCGCTATCATTGTGCACGCCTGTGTGGTTGTTTTTGTGCACATTTTATGTGTTTTTTGGCCTTCTGATGTAAATTTGTAGTTAATATGTATGTTTTGGGATCTTTTTGCAGTTATTGTGGTTTGTAGATAACTTGTGTGTTGCTCAGGCCGTTTGGAGTGTCACTGTAGTTGTATTGAGTGTTTGACAAGACAGACAGATGAACAGTTGTGAGAACTGATATCATTTCCTGCTTGAGTAATCATCCTCGTCTGCTGCACCTTGTATTCGAGTATGATGTACGTGTGTGTGTGTGTGTGTGTGTGTGTGTGTGTGTGTGAGAAAGTTTTGACCTTTGTCCTCCAGTGAGTTGTTGCTTAGGTTGATTGTGTGGAGCGTGGAGGCGGGGTTGTGTGACAGAGCACTGGCCAGTTTCTGAGCAAAATCGCTGAAGAAGAAGATGAAGAAGAAGAGAAACAGTTCAAACAACAGGTCAGCATCATTGACAAAGTTTTACTGGTGTCTGAATCTCATCTTAGGTATACACAATCAACAAACTAAATGTAATATTCTAAATAGACTTGGTGTCCTGGTTGCAAACAGTTTATTTCACTTAGAAAAAATGTGGCCAGGATTTTTGGAGAAGTACAAAGCACAAGAACATCAGTTCTATTATTTGACCTCTGACCTTCTGAGTCCAGCGTTGTCCAGAACCAGCTCCTCCAGCCGGTTGGATCGAGCCACCACTTTGAAAATCTGGTCACACACATCTGTTGACTGGAAAAACAGAAAACACACACAGACGCCTTGAATTTCATTTCACATCAGGGAGATTTCAAAGAAGCATTTTTTTGTTTCAGTAACTGGAGATCACAGTTCACTTTAATGATATTAACTAGAGGTGTACAGTTGTTTGTATCAATGGTAGACTGGGATTTCTGGGTAAAACTGAACTTCAGGACGTTACCAGTTTGTAGTCTTTGGTGGAGAGTTTGGTGAACCACTGGTTGTATTCTAGAGCTGCGATGATCGGCACCAAATCCCTGCAGGGAAAATGAAAAAAGCTTTTAGATAGAGGTGTCAGCCGCTGTGTTCGACAGAGTAATAATCATAGTACATTTCATTTATGTTACTTTTTCAGCGAAGAAAGCCGCCAGAATAAACTAAACTGATGGCAAATATCAAGAATACAAGAGCTGTTCAAATGTCTAAATTAAATGTTTAATAACCAGCTAAGAGAAGCCAACTACTTAATTAGGTGGCTCCTGTTAGTGGAAAGTGATATGTGTTGAATAAATTTAAGCAGCATACCACTACAGAGTCTGCTCATACCGCTACACCAGAAGTACTTCACCCATCGGCCACTTTCAACCTCTGCACTACTAAGAATTAGGCATGGCAGAGCATATAGTGTGATTACTTCTCTTATTGTGGATTACATTTTTTAAAATTTTGCATTGGGAACTACTTGTCCTTAAGTATTTTGCATTATTTTATTTAAACACTATCCGGATAAACACTTGAATCTTAATCTTTGGTAAAATGTAGGTAAAGCTGAGGCGACGAGAACTGTATAGAAAATTTTTGTACCTTTTGCAACATCTTCTGACAGTTTCCCAAACCTGTGATACTTCAGTAAATCAAGAAAAGTCACGCCTTGTTTTATTCCTTCTATAAGCTAACTGTCTAGTCTTGATAAATGGAAAATTATTGCAACAACAGAGTCACTAAACCTAAGGTGAAACTGGTCCACGTTGGTCAAAGTCACATACAAGGGCTTTGACTGGTGGGCGTACCTGTTTTCCAGGTGAACAAAGTCCTGCAGGTTGAGCTCTCTGGTGTCCTGGGTGAGATAGATGGTGTCCACATCCTGGAGAAGAAGACGACAGCAGGTGAGACAGAAAGAAAAACAACGAGAGAGCTTTATGACGATGCGTTCAAGTTCGACAAACTCTGAAACAAGGACAGAAACAACTGAAACACAAATGGTGGAAGTCAGACTCAGCTTCAGCAGACGTGACAAGAATAGTGCTTCGACCAGCAGAAGAAGAAAATACAAGATTTAGCAGTAAAAGCAAAGGCAGAAGTTTCAGCAGAATCCAAAAATACCAAACAAAATATAGGGACAGCAAGGCACCATATCTTAAAAAAAAAACTATTATCAGAGCTAGTAACTGTAAAAACTGAAAAAAAGTGATTTTTTTTTAAAAATTAAAATCATTTTTGATTCGACATCTCAAATTCGTCAAAAATGCAGCGTTTGCACAAAACTGATTCTGTAAATAACAAAAAAAAAAAGATAACACTGACCCACTGGACCTCCTCTCTGTACGGCAGACCCAAGTAATCACACACACACCAGTACTGATGAGAGAAGCCGCCTGCGAAGAGTTATGCAAATAACAATGTTCAAGCCTTTGACCACACATATTTCACACGATTCGACCCGGTTTATTTGTAAAGCACTGATGGAGATTTACCGCACGGTCCGAGGTCAGCTGATCCCTGTTCGTCCCAGATGGCCTGGAGGGCGGCTGTCCTGTCTGGAGGCTTCAAACTCAACTTCCTCATCACCTTCCTTCCTTACAGAGAGGAAGAGAAAAGACAGAACAGGAAATCTGAATTTATAAACCTCAATTTGAAGAGCTCCATGAATCTCACAAAGACAACTCCACAAATTGAAAGCCGGTTCCAAAAAAAAGATAAAGTTATATCATTTATTGTAGAAAAAATGAAAAGAATAGTTAGATTTTCAACGTCCCTCCACTCCTTTGGAAAACCTGACCAGATCTAACCTTAAAATTAAAAGCATTTCATCAAATCATGATTCACAAAAAAGAAATATTTTTTTCAAAAACACTTTGTGCTCCTCAGTACAACTGGGAAGCCATGTTTGACTCACCTGTAACCAACAAGAATGTAGCTGATAAAAAGACTTTTGTGTCGAATTAAAAAAAAAAAAAAACGTATAAAAAAAATTAAATAAATAAAAACAGAAATTATAGCATCATGGCTTTGTTAAAACTACAGAAGACATTTCTAAGTTCTCTCTTCTTCTAATATCATTGTGTTGTTTCAATAGAGGTGCAGGACTTTATATTGCAGTGAAAAAGGAGCATGAAGTGACTAAAAATGTGACAGGAGCAAAACAAATAAACAGAAAAAAGAAACACCCAGGAACTGCTCGCAGTTTAAAGGATCAACTTCATTTACTTCAACTGTTCAAAGCCTTTAAAATGTACCAAATCTTAATTCAAAAGCCCTTCATGAGAAGCATTTAAAGAGTTTCCTCTTTCTCCACTCCTCTGAAAGCGGCTGTGTGCTACCTACACAGGTGAGCTGGCGGGGCAGATCTGGTGCAGACAGCTGCCGATGTGAGCGATCACCTCATCCACTTCCTCGGCCGAGCCCAGCCGGAGGCACCACGGACCGCGTTCATACTCCAACACCAGCTGCAGGGGGCGACAGCCACAAAGGAATGAGTCAAAGCGCTGCTGAGGTGATAAAATGCAGAAACTCCCCGCTGCCTCAGGAATATGTTTACAGCCCGAGGAGGTGAATTCAGGTGAGCAAATGTGCACTAATGCAGCCAATTACCTCAAATTTCATATTCCATCAATGACTGTACATTCGTGTGTGCATGAGCAACTGTTAAACTGCCATTCAGGTGAGTGTTTCTATGTCAGAAATATAGAGCACAGCAATGCAACACTATGCTTCTTGTTTGTTTGCATGTGTGCGTACCTGAGTGGGCTTGTTGCTGCTGATTCCCTGGATATCCAGATAGCTGAAGGAGTGTTCGACCTGAAGACACAGATTGTGTAAATACACCGAGTTAATCTCACGTTCCCACATCTTATTCACAGAGGGATTACTGGACAAGGGCGGCATGCTGAGCTCCGATTAGACACACAAACAACAAATCACAAAACAGAAGTTACGCGTCTCAAAGGAGAGCTTGCTCACTACACCACAAAATTTAAAAAAAAAATAATACAAGGATGACATTTATACTTCCTCCTGAGAACTGGGAGAACTTCCCAGGAACTGTTTACCAAAAACAGACCGTTTTTTAAAATCCTTCATTAACCGGATGAAGAGAGTTCAGGTGATACACAAACACTCATCACAGTCACTTTGCTATACTGGAGCAAATCTGGTTCCATAAAATGCCTTCATGTACCAGATCAAAGCATGAGAAGAAAAAAAAAACATGAAGAGACACGTGACACATGTTTTTAAGTGTTTCAACCCACAGAACAGAATCTGAGTTTAACAGATGGAGTTCTAACAGCTACATCCAGTCATAGGATGTCTTGTTAGAACAGCTGATTCACCACGTTTTCTAATATAAACACTACATGAAGCGTTTGTGGACACACTATTTGGTGCACTCCAGAGATGTTTTTCATTAACTCGGGCTCCTTAGTTACACTGATAGGAACTCTTAACGCGAAATCACATTAACATATTAAAGACAATAGTGTGTTTGTGGTACCAGCTTGGGGAAGGCCCTTTCCTGTTTGAGCGTGACACTGCTGCTGCTGTGCACAAAGTTGGCTTCTAGAGGTAGAATCCAGTGTCAAAGCACCAACATCACAGAGGAGAAATACAAGAAAAGTTATGCATTTACTGAAGTAAAAGTTCTCATCATGCAGAACGACATATTTCAGAATAATATACATCATAGTTTGAAGGTGTGGTAATGTGCTTGTCATGTGACTGTCAAAGCTGGTAAAGGTCACATTTTTACTCACTGTAAGCTCATTTTTCACTCCAATATAAAGTCCTGCACGTCTATGGAAACAGAACAACCATGGCTGGATGTAGAGAGAACTAAAAAATGTCTTCTGCGCAGTATGAAACTGATATAATGCCAATAATCATAGCTGAATTCTGTTAATCATTTATGTCACAGAAAAAAGAAAAAAAAAAAAAACCTGGATTCCACATGTAGAACATTTTTGCGAGAGCCCACAGATGTTAGTGATACTGGGGGAAAAAATGTGGCTCTACAGGCTATAGATATTTCATTTAACCTTTATTTTACCAGGTTGGTTAGTTGACAACTGGTTCTCATTTTCAATAATGACTTGGTCAAGAGGTGGCACACAAGCAAGATGAACAGGAAAAACAGATTACATGTACAGCAGCTCACACAAATTACGTAAGAACTTGTAAAATAGAGAGGCTAAAGACAGGTGCAGTAGTCCTGAAGTGTTGCTCTATCTGATTTTTTGATCAATAAGAGTGGTACATATGAGGTGAGTTGTAGGGAATGTTGCAAAGAGTTCCAGTCATTAGCGTCAGAAAACTGAAATGAGGATGGACCCAAAGTGGTATGGACTTTGGGAATGTGGAGGTTAATGAGACAGTTAGAACGAAGAGTACGGATGGAGTTATGAATGGTAAACGCAGATATGGTGGTGTTTTACCAGTGAGGGTTTTGTAGATGTAAAGAAACCAGTGTAATTGTCTGCAGGAGTGAAGAGCGGGCCAGTTCACCAGTGGGTACAAAATACTCATATTTTACTGCGTACATTTTTAATTTGTTTCCATACTCCTGTGTGTTCTGAGCGAACACAGCCTGCAGTTCAGCCGAAGAGTTTCTGAATTTTTGTCACATGACTGTTGGTTACTCATGGCCTATGCTGAGAAGCCCAGAATTTTAGCTACTTTTTTTTTTTTTTTAAAGAATCTGCATTTTTGACAATGTTTTTAATAGACGTGTAGAATAAGCAAATGAAATCACATGATTTTAAGCTCTGATTAAGCTATTTTTCTTCACAGAACTGCACATTCACAGTTTCCAGCTCTGATAAATGATGCCATTATGACAATTACAAAGAAACAACAACATTTCATTTTCATGTTCAATCCCACCAGCAGGTTTAAGGGTTCAGAGAGTTGATGCTCAGAGAAAGACATTACTTTTCTCATACTTTACATGGCTGCAGCTCCTCACTTAACATTAATAGTTTTGCTAAATAAGCTCAAGCATTTGCTTTTATTTTCAGGTCGACTGAGCTGACTGGTCAAGCTCCGACTTGTTTTGGAGTTAAGCAACAGAGAGTTTGCTGTGTCACAATAACCTCCAAACACACTGTTCATGCACTAATGAGCGGTTCTACGCTGTGCAATCTACACTATCAGCAATTCTCCAGCGAGGAATCTGTTTGTGAATCACTATTATTATATCAAAAAGACATGGAAACCTGTACTGATAAGGAGCTGTTTTTATCAGGACCTGAACAAACCCTAAAGAAGGGAGGGAGGAGGAAAGAAAAAAAAAAATCACAGAGACAATAGGAATGTCAAAAACACAAGCTGCAAATAGTCTGTAGAACAAATGTCTGGAGTGGAGTCGTGCCCGCGCACACATTTCCCTTTGAATGCAGAAAGTAAAAATAATTGTGTGGTCTCAACTCGCTGCCAAAGAGAACAAGTGTGACGGAGGGAGAAGAGGGAGAAAAACAAAGATGGAGGAGGGGGGGAGATGGAGTTACGAAAAAGAAAGTGAAAGAGATGGAGTGAATGAAAAAAAAAAAAAATAAGAGACTGCAAAAGTGAGAGAGGAACTGAGAGAGGAGAGCTTAAACAAATACCAGATAAAAAGGCTGGACAAAGTCAGTAATGAAGCAGAGAGGAAGCAAGGGAAGGGCACAGAGAGGCAGTGCCCCCTCCCCTGCTCTCCTTGCCAGCTGTTAAATTCCTCCATTGTCTTTTTTTTCTGCCTCTGCTGGGACAGAACTCGCTGAGGAACAAACCAGCCTCTGTTTCAGTCTCTCTGACAGAGTTAGAAAAACCACTGGCCCACTCTGGAACAACAGATCAGGGGTCAGCTGGCTGAGCCGCAAACCGTTGCTCAACAGATTTTGATTCAGAGGTTATCTGAGCTGCGTTTATGTTTGCTTCTGCTTTTGAACTGGATTCATAACCTGCAAAAGTACGGGCCAACCTTTTTAAATATGCTCTAAGAGGCTACAAACTGATCAAAAGCAACACTTTTAAGAAGAAAATGGAACTAACCAGACCAACAGGAAACTCTCATCATATTTTGAATTGCTTTGGTTAGAAAAGGGTTCAATCTGTTCAATTGCGCTCAAAAAGTTTTAAAGTGTGCAGCACATTTCGGTCATTGAGTTAATAAACATTAAACTCTGTGAAAAAAAAAATCTTAAAACTGAGAAAACGGAGTAGTAAGTGTGCCAGAAATGTTTTTTTAATGGTGGAATACTGTAAAGAAAAAAAAAAAAAAAGGTAAACTAATATCTGTAAAACAATGATATATTTAGCAAATATAAACACAGTAAAACAGTAAACCATTTTAGCATCGCACAATGTAGAAGAATCAATAAATAATAATAATAAAAACTAATATTTTTGATGCAAACAATATTTGCAACTTTAGCCTTTTTAAAAATAGTTTTACAGTCAACATGTACATTTAAAACAAGGAAAAGGGTATAAACTCAGTAAATTGTTTTTAAAAAATCCTGGTAAAAATAAATAAATAAATAAAACAGTTAAAAGTATCAACAAAAAAAAACTTATTTTTTACTGTGTGACAAATTTTTTCCCCAGATATAAATACAGTAATAAATATTGGAATTTTCAAAACCAGTGAAAATAATGCCAAATATCCCTACAAATGATATCTTAAGTACATTTAAATACATTAATATAGTGTATGTTCATGGTCACACAGTGTAAATGAACAAA